TATTTCTCATCCATCTAATTAATGATATCACACTATAATAAAAATATTGGTTAGGACCAGTAATCCTCAGCTCAGTTATGCCTGAATGTAAAATTTCAAATGATAAAATCAGAGTTAGCTATTCTACTTTCCAAAAAAACAGTGGAATTGGGAGTACATATATAATACCCACACATATATGCATATATGTAATTCCTAGTTTATGTTTTTCAATAATAGAGACAAGAGTGTGCTGACATCTGAGGACCAGTTCCAAGAAGGGACAAGCCTTCTGAAACATAAAATGGTGAGATATGGGCATACCACTTATAAATAAATGGCCCTTTATCCCCTTTGTCCCTTGTAAAAACCTTTCTGACATAAGTTATTTGAAACACTGACTTTTCCTAATTAACTCTTTTAGGCTGATAAAGAAAATGCCAATAAATCTGCATGGAACAAAAATAATCTAATGATGGGGAAAAATTATATTCCTTTAAAACCAAATGAATTAAGCAATTCAACTATAGCTCTTGATATACATAATTGTGAGGACAATAATCAAGATCTGTCATTTATACCAATTAAAGATGATCTTCAAATTCAACGTATGTCATTTAACCAGACATTTCCTCTTAAAAGCAATAGTAAAGAAAACCTAATGCCTGTAGGAAAACCAAAGCAAGATGTCAAGGTGCTCAAGAAGCCTGTGCTTGGATTGTATCGTGGGAAAGTTATTGAGTCTAAGATTAATTCATTCAGAAAACCCCTGCAAGTCAAAGACGCAAGTTCTGCAGCAAACAAGAAACTGGCAACAACTCTCCCTAATGCCGCCAAGCCCCCGCCTGTGAACACCAGCAGTGTGACAGTGAGGACTGATAAGGCCTCGAAGGTGACGACTTCCACGAAGACGGGGAGCACGGCCTCTCAGAACAGACCGCTTCTGCGGCCTCCTATCAGAAGCCACCACGCTAACACGCAGGACAGGGGGGAGCAAGGCATCAGTAGAACCTCCGCCAGTGTTACTGTTCGGAAGGGGCCTGGAAGTACAGAATTAGCTCAGGTGAAACCCCATCTGTCTAGTGTCAGACCCAGTGCTTCTCAGGACATGAGAAGAAACCAGGCATCCTCAAGAAACACAGCATGTGACATCCTAGCCAGGCCTGCCTCCTCTTCTAAGCTCAAACTGATGGAAAAGTCAAAACCCACCGACCAGCGAAGACATACTATAGTAGCGAAGACCAGTGCCAATAGTAAACCAGCTCAGCCCACAGAAACTGCAGAGCAGAGGAGGTGAGTAGATGTCATTTGATCACCTGACTTTTCAACAGCGTTGTCTTGTAAATTTGGTTTGCCTTTTCCGTGAAAGCTTTAGGATTTTCTTGTGCCTTCTCTTCTGTCCTTTGCAGACAACGTTAAGTCTGTGTCTATTGTAGACCTGTAAGATAAGTCACTGTGTCTGGGTTTGTTTCATGAGCTCAAACACTTAGTAAAGTTTGGGGAATACTTATAAACACAAGCATTTTTAAAAGCATTCTGTGAGGGTTTCTGTGCATGCCACTGACTGATATGTGCAATGTTTCCTTCTTCAGATTTTTGAACTATGAATGTGCCACTAGTGTCAAACCACTTAAGCCCTGAAATATTTTTTAGTTTTTTTCTTTGGGTGTAAGGATCATAGTCCTGTTTATACTCTGCTTCTGACCGTAGAGCCCTTCTGACTGAGTGCAAAGCCGACAAAGGCAGGGTGCTGAAGAAGCCTCCGAGCTCCGTGGTGACGCAGCCCGAGCCTGAGGGGCAGAATGGAAAACCAGTGGGGTCCTTCTGGACGACCATGGCCGAAGAAGACGAGCAAAGACTGTTCACTGAGAAAGTAAACAAGACGTTTTCTGAGTGCCTGAACCTGATTAGTGAGGTATCTCGTGATCGTCTTCTATCTTTGTAGCATTTTATAGTGTGTAGATGATCCGTGGAAACATCTCTGTAAATTGCACTGCCAGTCTTTTTGACTAAGTTAGGTCAAGGATGTTATGGTGACTTAATGTCAGATTGCTTCTCAAATGCCTTTCCTGAAAGAGCCCAGTGGCACAGTGGTTAAGCACTTGGCTTCTAACTGAAAGATCAGTGGTTCAAACCCCACCCCACCAACCACTCTGCAGGGAAAGATGTTGCAGTCAGCAGGAGACTCCTTTGGACATTTCTACTCTGCCCTAGAGGGTTGCTGTAAGTTTGAAGCAGCTCATTGGCCATGGGTTTACTTTTTAACTGATGACATTTTGTACTGAGTTCATGTAACTATATCAAAGGGGTTGGCGGTGTTATCTGAGTATAAAAATGATATTCCTCTAAGACAGTGGTTCTCAACCTTCCTAATGCTGCGACTCTTTCATACAGTTCTTCATGTTGTGGTGACCCCCC